ACAAAAAAAACACACACAAACCTATACATTTTCTAAGCAGGTGAAATATCTGGAACTCCGTTCTTTTGTTTTAGGCGGCGATGATGATTATGATGATGATGATGACGAAACAATGTAGCTTTTGGCAGGTGTCCGAAGGAGTTAAAGTAAAAAAAAGAAATAAGGCACGCCGAAGAAGAAGAAGACGCCGACGGGCATCTCTCCATTATTCAATGCTAAACGCCCCTGATTAAGTCTAATTTATTGAGCCTGGAAACGTATCGACGTGTTCACCCCCTTAATTACGTAATGGCGATTCATTTATTTATCGTTCAGAGCCACCCCCGATGTCTGCCGTATTTTCAACATTAGCATTCGACAAAAACAAATGATCAACGAAACAAAAAATGAGCGAAAGCTTTCGAGTGCCTCGGGTGTTTACCTACGTTTCACCGCCAAATTGGTATCAATTAGTGGTTATTATTAATTCCCTTTCAATCGTCACAACATTCCACGCGACGAATGGTAGCAATGAAGAAACCCTATGATTAACAAATTATTTTTTCTCTGGTAATTCGGGAAATGCAGGTGTGTGGAAATGTCTCGAGTTTTTCGACGTTCGCAGATGCCCAGAAAACTCTGAAAGATTCCCGTCTTTCTTCGTCGACGCGGAAGTCGTCCGTCGTGTCACGAATATCGTGTTGCCAAGTAAATTGTACATTTCCGTCGGTGTCGCAATCGCAATAGCTCATTATAAATGTTTAACGAATATTCTTATGTTAACACTTATTACGGATAATTGCTTAGGAAATAGAGAGAAAGAGAGACAGAGATGAAAAAAAATAAAAATAAATTGGTTGAATAATTCCACGAGTTAAGATATCCTAACCTTCCTCCTTCCATTATCAAAACGACACCTTTGTGCTTTCCGTTTAACGCACGTAATTCCTAATTAAACGTTAATCGCCTTCGTGTGTGTTGCAAGGGGATCAATTATATCGACGCGGTTTGCTGTTAGGTGACACAACAAAACTTCATTTGTTTTCCAGCAAACGATTGACTATTGCAATTATTGTTTATCAAAAAGACAAAACAATTGCATTCTTTATTATTTATATTTCGTTTTTGAATAAGAAAATGTGACAGTTTATATAACTTACAAATCATGATAATCATTTTTACATTCGATGTAAATTCTTAAGAAGATTGCCGATGGGAAATCGTTCCGCTTCATGCCTTTATTTTGTTTTTCTGTTTTTATTTTCTTTTTTTTTCTGTCTTGGCCAAAAACATTCAACTTATAGCCAGATATGTTGGCAGGTTGTGAATGAATAATAAAAGCGAAAAAAAAAATGTAAATTCTATGAAATATTTAATATGAACGATTATAACTTATTTAATAATAATCACTAAAATCCTATACGAACCAACGTCCGATCCTCAAAGCCAAACAAAAATTTGTGTGTTCATCAATGGACAGTCAAATGAAAGAGCATATGGACCTTCAGCCAAGTCGATCGACAATGACAGTGTTAAGGATAGCAGCAGATACACAGTGAAAGGGAATAGTGGAATCGCAGAGCATCAATATACTACTGAAGTTAACCTACAAGACGGTAGCCAACCAACAACCAACAACAGAAGAATATAATTGTAAAAACTTCCATTATGAAGTTTACCAGAAAGCAAATGTCTACGCCATTAGATTTAATTAATATTGTAAATTAAATATACTATGACATAATAGAAAAAAAATGAATCTACAACATTTCTAAATTGATTCATTTTCTCTAAAAACAAACAAAATTTGATAGATAAACAAGGTCGATTGATAATCTCCCTATTATAATAATATTATAGCTAAAAATAATTAAATATTTTTCTTTGAATAATGAAAAATGTTATAATTAAAATAAACATTTCATAGTTTTGTTTATGAAAAAAAAGTTTAGTGAAAAAGCTGTTAAAAATAAAAAAGAAAGACTGAAAATAAGCTTTTAAGCAAATAAAAGCAAGTATATAATTGAGTTCTTAATTTAAACCCAAATTAAAGTTGTGTAATCAAGATAAGTTATTTAATTTAAGATATTGTTATATTAAATAATTAATTTCTAATTGAATATAATTATTAAAAATCTAACCTCGAATATCCTTTGTTTTTTAGATAAGATGTCATATTTGAAGGAGTAGCTGAAACAGAACTGCGAAACCTATTCAATCTCCAAATTATATTTTTGTACTTAAAATTTCATTTTGAAATAATCGAATGAATGAAAATAAAGAAGTTTGTATAAATTTAGATTCCATTTATTTATATTAAAACGTAATATTCAATAACAACATATCTTATTTTTAAAGTAAAGTACAACAAAAAATAAGTAAATTTATACAGTAGAATCTGCGGTCCTTTTTTACGGTTTTTTTTATGGGGTATATAAAATCCAACCAATTCCAACGGGGTTGGTACCAGTGTAATGTTTTCAAAGTGTGGATATGTACAGCGTGCTCAAACGATGCTGTTAGTCGGTTTTTAACCAATTCATCGCAAGAAGATGCGCGTTTTGGATTAACACGAATAGCAGTGAATTACGTATGTGCACTATGAAAATTTCTTCATATGTACAATGAGATTTTTTTTATACGGTCCCTATCTACCGCACAAAAACAGGATTTACTGTACTAGATTAATTCAATTTCTCAAAAAAAATTGACAGATCAAAAACTTCAATTAGTTATAATTATTATAATAATAGAAATAAAATTAATTAAAAATTGTCTTCCAAATTTCATTTTTTCTTTAAATAATTAAGTCTATATGAACGAAACAAAAAATGTGTCATGAAAAAGCTATAGTAAGCAATGTGAAACAAACGATGTAGGAGACATACTGAAATTGAGATACCTAAATTTTAATTTATTTCACTTTAAACCTTGATAATTTAATTAATTTTAAATAGAAATGATTACAATTAATGTTTTGGGAATTAATCTATTTCCAAAATTATAAAAATAGCCAGGTATTTTGTTTTTATTTATTGTGTGAGAATTAATCTCGTATCTGCGATGTATTGTCCCAATAGACATTGTAATTATTTATCGCATATTGTCCAATAGGCTTGAATAATAATAATCTCTCTAATAATTATGTAATTTGTAAATGTGTACTTGATTTAAACCCAAATTAAGCTTATGTTATCTCAGTAAATGTAGCATGAAACAACAATGTTTAGAGTTTTCATTTTTTATAATGCTGCAAGTTATTTAATTTAACAAAATGTTACAAGAAATGTTTTTATAAGTTTTTCATGTTAATTGACTGTAATTATGAAACCATGTTATCTAACTTTTTTATGTCGTATAATTTTATTCACAATCTGTTCATCAATGTGAACATTGTGTAAATTTAAGATCGCGGTTGACATTACGTAGGTAGTCTTTCCCGGTGGATAGTTACCATTATGATGATTTTTTATTTGTAGGTTGGCTGTGGTCCTGTAGGTTAACTTCCGTAGTATACCAGTATTTCCTTTCACTGTGAATCTGCTGCTATCCTTAATACTGTCATTGTCCATCGACTTGGCTGAAGGTCCATATGCTGAACCTCATTCAGTTCACTATCCATCTGTGATGAACGATGGCCCTATTGCTGCAAGCACCGAGGGGCTCACAAAGGGCCTGGCTTGACCAGGATTTGAACCTGCGCCCACTAGCTCGTGGATAGGGCGACTTAACCATTCGGCTAAGTCGCCCGTCATCTTACTTAAATATCATTTTTCTAAAGGAGAGTACCTTTGAAAGGGACTACACCTGGAAAGGATACTGTGTGATAACCTAACCTATTCAATCTGCTATTGTAATTATCATTCGATTATGTCTTAATAATGTATAGTTTTTTTGCAAAGGTTTCCTCATGCGAATATGCTTTTTCGTTTTGAGATCGGAACATCGTTGAATAATGCAACGAGTTGAGGAGAAAGAGAAACGCGTGCACATCGAAGAACAATCGAATCGGATTGCGCCTTGTGCAACAATGGATAAACGAAGACTTCCTCGATTATTTTTTTTGTTCTTCTCTCCACACCATTCCATTCCGTAGTCTGCTTGCTCAATAAAGCTGCAGTTCGTTACCGCCGTTTCATATTCGGAATTGCATTGTTATGTGGATTGCCGCAGGTCCGATTGAAATTAACGTCGTTTAACAACAACAAACAAAAACGAAAACACTACCGCTTTTCTCGGCAATTAATAATTTCCATAAAACCAAGCCAACGTTTCCAACCCAAATAAACGGAACAATGCGAACGTGAATATTCATGTCCTCGGTTCGCGGAAGAAACGATGTAACCATTCACAAAGCTTCTTCTCTTCGTCCGGATCCTCCTACCATCATCTCCACCTTTGATTGTAAATGGTAAATGATTTAGAAAGCATCGCCATCGGAACCCGCCGATTCCCACTGTCCGAGTTTCCTCATCAATTTTGTTCTTTTGCATACGGAATTCATGGGAAATCCCGTTCAGAAAAGGAGCACGGATAACGGAAGAGGATTCAGGAATGGAATTAAAGGTTTCTTAATGATCCGCTAATCTACCATTATTATTTTTCAGCGTTGTGGAACATCGCACCAAATGATGGCATCATTGTTTCTCCTCGCTTTCTTTTTTTCTCTCCGAACGGTTCGCTTCCTTTAATTTCTCCTATTATTCAATAATCTTAACTTAAAATTAAACTTAAAGATAATTAATATATCACATTATAATTAATTTAGATTTAAACATTTACTTAGCTTAGATAAAATTATTTGACATTTAGTTAGCTTATGAAAACTTATATTAGGTTAAGTAAGCTTAGATTTAGTTATATTAGGCTAGGCTATTTGATTTATTTAGAATTTACATACCAAAATCACTTATTTCGCTTAATAATATCATATTATGTATTTAGTATAATATAATTGAATAGTTCACTATATTGTATATATAAATATGAATTAATAAAGGTAAAGATAATATTTGGTATAATTGGCCCATTGACTTGTAGACTTTATATACTTAAAAAGACTTAATTCTGTGATTCCAAATTTAAATTTCGACTTCATCGGAATACGGAGATTCCACGATGTCCACTTGGTCCAGATCAACGTGACCAACGACTTCAGGTAATTCACCTTTCGTCGATGATCCTGCATTGGCTATCCTGAAAGTCTCCAGGAATTCATTCAGATCGATGCCTCCATCCTTATTAGTATCCATCAAATTGAAAAACGCATCCAGATCACCGGTGCTCACCGCATTCGGTAACCTCTCGTTGATGGCATTGCACGCATCCAGCAACTTCTCCAAACAAATGTAACCTTAACAAGAAGATGTACAAAAATTATTTTATTTTAGGTTATTATAACGTGGGTTACGTTGCTAGATTAAGTAAGGTGTGGTTTTATTTATGTCAGATTAAGTTAGGTTAAGTTTTGTTTATATTAGATTAAGCTAGGTAAGGTTTTGTTTATGTCAGTTTAAGTTAGGTTAGGTTTCGTTTTTGACAGATTAAGATAAGTTAGATTTCGTATATGTTATGTTAGTTGGTGTTACCTGCATTGTCTTTGTCGATGATTCGAAAGATTTTCTGCAATCTTACTTTGTTATCGTATAAAATGTCCATAACACCTTCACCATTATTCTAAAATTAACAAGATTAACTAGTAAATATGACAATGTCAATCATTGGTGTTTCAACTTACGCTCAACGAGTATTTGTACTTGGAAAACGTCGAGTTGTAGAGAATCATCTCACTTCTCTCGTCCTGCGTAACAAGTTTTTCTCGTAACAATCGCCATGGCAACGATAATCCCGTCGTTTTTTCCATGCAGCTGCACCAATCCTTCAAGCTAATAACACCTAAACAATAACAATAACTTTAATTTACTAAATGAAAGTAAATATTTCTCAAATATCCATTACTATCACAACTTATTTACATTTTCCATGAACTACTAAAGCTTAGTCAATGGAGTAGATTCCATGACTACCATAGCTAATTTATTGTTACTAAAGCCGATTAACTTATCAATGACGTAGTATCCATGACGAAGATATCTTATCTAATCTATTGTAACATAATTGTAATAATTGAAGTACAACTTTGCAAGTTTCGTGTAAGATATCGTATGTTTATACCGTCGTTATCAGGATCGAATTTGTTGAAGGCGACCAGAAGCTTCGTCCTGTTGATCTCGATGTGTCTGTACAATTCTCTGATGGCCGAAGCTTCGACGACATCGATCCTCTCACGGAAGGTAAGTCTCTTCGCGCGGCTCGCGTTGAATTGCACCACCTTGTACTTCAAGTCCGAACCGAAGATTTTCAAGTAAGCTCCTCTGTTCGAACCCACTGAGTAGTAATTTGAGGCCGAGAATATCGTTATCAACTAAGAAACAAGGAAACCAAATATATATATGATTCAAATTTTAAATTTCAATAGAATTTCGGACAAGAGGCGACATCTATACAAGTATAACCAAACCTCAGATTCAGTTATCAATGCATTTACTATTCATTTGTTTATGTTTTAATTAAAGTGATTAAATAATAATATTTTGAAAATTTAATTAAATTAATAACTTAATTTAGTTTAGATAAAAATATTTTATAATATTCATTCTAGGCAACCCAAACAACATAACAAGAAGAGACATTTCTTAAATTATGTAACTTAGTTTTATAAATGTTATGTTATGATTTAAAAATAATTAATATTCTAAGTTATTTTAGATCAGATATTATTTAAAGATATGAAATTCATGTTTCTTTTCATTTGCGCAATATCATGTATGATTGGTCAATATTGACAATTTTCTGATCAATAAATTTATTTTATCAGTCATTGTTTATCGTGTACTTTTAAAATTAATTACTTTTTTGAATTTGTTCTTCATTTTGTATCGTCAAATTTCGAATTTGATTTAATTCTTCGAGCCATCTGCACGTGCTTAAATGAAATATTCGATACCGCGCCACCCTTTGGAGCGAATCCAAAGTTTGAAGCTACCTGTAATTTGTGTAATCTGCAGGTGAATATGTTACAGATCCGGATTCAGGTATTTTGTAATGGATATCGTACTTTGTTCCGATGTGTAATCTCGAACCCATCCGCCTTGCATTCATGCGATCTGATCAGCAGATCGAAATCGTTCTGAAGGAGGAACTCTTCGGTAACGTCCGCACCGAAGAACGTTCCCGCACCTCTGATCTTATTGGCAGCACAACCATCTGTAGAAGCTGGATCACTCCACAACAAATCCCTGACCTACAATATATTCTTTTGATAATTCATAATTTCTTTTTTGGAAAATTTTTGAATTTACCTGTGTCCATTCATCGTTGAAAATCTTCTTATCCTCTTCGGACATATCCTCTTGGCTCATTTCCGATGGTCTCAAAATGGAATCGAACTAAATCGGATTAAATAAAAAGTTAAGTTAGGTTCACAGCGAACTGTCAAATTGATTTACCCTGGACCTGTTGGCATTCCTGATGATGCCGAGCTCGGTGCGATCGGAAATCCCACCATGCGCCACGAATATTCGATCATCGATGACAGTTGCTAAGGGCAACCATCTGTATAATTCCTCGAATAATTTGAACAGATTGCTGTTGTGTCGCTATTGGTAACGACGATCAATTTGTTTCCGATTACTTTGGGTTTCGGTGAGTGAGAATTGTGGAAATAAAAAAATGTGATCTCTTACCCGGTATTTTAGTTCGACTTCCGCGTAGAATCCGTATCTGCAATACATGTAATGAAATGTAATGGAATTAAGGTTATGCTTCTCACCGCTCGTTGACGGCCAAATCTTCGTGATTTCCTCGATTCAAGTACATTCCCTCGGGGAATACCAGTAAACAGGAGAGAAGTATTAGAAGGACTTCTAAACCGCATTTACCGCGATCCACAAAATCTCCGTTGAAGATGTAAGGATTCTCCTGCGACGGTAAACCGTTCTATATTAAAACAAATAATATTAATATAAGATGGATTGTTGAAAAATGAACTGAAACAAAAACCTTTTGCAGGATAAGGAGTAAATCATCGAGTTGTCCGTGAATATCACCGCACACTGTGAATTCTTGTGAGACGTTCATGTGAAGTACATTAATATTGGGCAGTTTCCTCAGATGGAATACAGCTTCGATCAGGATCTTGGCGACATAGCAAGCGTGCAATTTCGGCTTCTATAAATGTAAATTCTGTTTAAATAAGAAACTTCTTCTGGGAAGTGATGATAGTTAATGCGATTTAATGTATTTAACGAAGACCCACGCGCTTTGAGGCCTATCGATTTCCCCTCTATTCCCCAACAAGGACAAACTCACTTTGCGATCGTTGAAGTGTTGAATCAGGTTGTGCAGGTCCGCCTTCCGCATTGGGAAGTTTACGTGGATTCCCTTGTACTTCTTATCGGCGCGGATTTGCGCCTCTGCATCGTTCCACATCTTCATGTTGAGCAGATCTAAGTACAAACAAAAAATAAATCGAATCTAATTATTAGTTTTATCTCACCTATCGACGCGTTCTCCACTCTGGTCTCGGCAAGTTGTTTGACGATCGGAATGTTGTTCAGAAGACATCGGTAAAAGTTGTAAACCTAAAACAAGATTTCATTCACATTGTAAATAATCAGTCCACATTACATAAAAAAATATTTCAATCAAATTTTTAACTTGTTTTTTTTAATTAACTCTTGATTCATAAAATATTTCGATTTATTTTATTGCTATTGTCATTGTAACATAATTCTTATTAATGCTTGAAGAATATTGACTTTATTTAAGTCACGACGACGTAAACCTAATGTCATTGTATCGTCATGACATAATTATTATTAATGCTCGAAGAATATTGACGTTTTTATGACGTCACGATCCTAATGTCATTGTGACATAGATCGACGTAATAGTGACATTATTCCTATTATTGCCCATATTCTTAGGACGTTCATATTCGTCGCGATGACATAAACCTAATAGCATTATGACATAGATTGACGTCATGGTGACATAATTCATATTATTGCTCGAAAAATATTGACTTTTTTGAAATCACAATGACGTAATGTCATAATGAAATATTTTTTATTATTGCTCAAAAAATATTGATGTTTATTGACGTCACGATGACGTAAACCTAATGTCATTGTGACATCGACGTCATAGTGACATAATTATTATTATTGTTCAAAGAAATTGACGTTCATCGACCTCAAGATAGCGTAAACGTAATGTCATTGTGACATATCGACGTAATAGTTCTTTTTATTTCTCCAAGAATATTGACGTTCATCGATTAAGAAAACCTAATGTCACTATGACGTCGATCTGCGACGTCGTAAGAACATAAACCTAAAGTCATTGTGACGTAGTTTGATATCATCATGACATTATATATTTAACTGTTTTACAATGTTATGATTTTAAAAATCACTGTTTCATCAAAACTAACTAATTGAGCATCACTTCAAATAAAAAGTAACACAATGTGACATAACTAAATCAAATGTAACTTATCTTGAATTGAATTAAATTTGAATTAATATTGATTATAGTTTTTTTCATTCGAATAATAATCAAGTATTCAGTAAGCAATTTCGAATGAAATTTGTTTCCTCGTCATTTGTCATTGTTAATGTCAAGAAGCAAAGTGGTGATTGTGATGAAAGCGGAAGCATGAAAAATCGTAATTACGCCTGAAATAATGGATAATGATAAATGAATGAATAATAAATGGGTCGTGATCATTTCGTGGGTTCACGAACGGCGGTCTGCTTAACCTTTTGGCGCGTCGTATCCTGGCAGAACGTAGGACGTAGGATCATTGATTATATTAAAAAGTAACAAAGCGCGCCAGGAAACGCGGTACCTAGCAACAACGAAACAAAATTACACACACACCAAAAAAAAAGAGTACAACAAAAGCCTTCCCCATTTCAATTCCGTAATTGAAAAATATAACGAGCAATTTTCCACGAAACTCATCAAATTCCATAATGCTTTCATTTTTCTGTGCAATTATTTTTTGTTTGTTGAATTCTAACCAATTTGCATTTGCATTTTACCTGGATCTGATGATGTTCGCTGGAATATTCGATCCTCTGGAAAATCGTCCAAGTGTAACGTTTCCTCAGCTCCAATGAGGCCCGATGCAATCTGTACCATCTTTGGATGAGAATTGCTGATTTTATGGCTGAAACGTGAAGGACAGAATTAGCTGCGACGTTATTCAATTAACTGGAACGGAGGGTGCTAAAAATCAAGGATACCAAGAAAACAATAGAAATCTAATTAAACAAAAAGAGCGTCGTAAAGGGAATCCTAATCAAGACAGGAGAAGCAATGAAAAAACTGTTACAAATGATTTTAATTACTTTTTCATTCTTAATTGAACATCGATTATTTCCACATTGTGTGAAACTAATTGGATTGAACGTTTTTTTTAATTATCTATGCGGTATAAGTGACCTTAAACTTGTTACGGTTTTATTTGTTTTCAGTTTAATTGCCAGGCGCATCCACCGTAGTTACATTTTATAGAGGTTTAATTAATTACTAAAAAGCAATTTTAATTTAAATTTTGTTCTCCAAATATAACTCAATGATCCAGACAAAATGAATATTTAATATAGTTCTGGATAAAGATAAAAAATGCAAATTCGTTATACTACGATAAAACGTTATATTACAAAAAAAAATAAAGAATAGAGAATTAATTAATGAAAATTTTATTATTGGAAATATTATATTTTAAATTCAAAAAATATACCCAAAGTCTCTTTAAACTTTTCATATTTATTAAAATATAATTTCAGTTATCTTATTTTAAAATAATTCACTTAAAATAATATAAAATCGACAATTTTGGTTTTTTTAGTATGAAATAAAACTAATCAATTATATAATAATTTTCATTTTTTCCTTTTGCTATCTTTCTGGCAACTTAATTATTCAGCATAACACTGAACCAAGTGCGATTTCAAGTCATCATAATTAGTGAAAGTTTTACCATTCAAAGGATTTTTCGAACTTCGAAATAAATGGTAATCTGGTGGAACAAGGTCAGAGCTAAATGGGGGATGCGACATCACTTCCCAACCAAGCATCAATAATTTTCCACGAGTTACTAAAGTTGTGTGAGGATTTGCATTGTTTTGGTAGAACTCGATTTACCAATTGTTTGATTAATATGACGATACAATTCAATTAAAACTTTGATTTTCTTTGAGTGGAAGCTGTCGAAAAATGATTTTTTAAACAAATTCTTTTTTGCACTCTTGTTAAAATTGGCCCTAAACTAACATCGGTATAGATTACACACAATTGTCTTCTAAAGAAAGCTGAAAGGCACATCTTTCAAATGACTAAATGAAAATATAATAACACAAACATAAACACTATCTATTTGTGAATACTGAAAATATTTTGTTGCCAAACCAATATTAAAGCATCATGAAGAGAAAAAGTTATTAAAGCAACTTATTAACATTGATTACATGTTCATATCAATAATATTAAAAAACCTATATTTTTATTGGACACTTTCCTGCATAACAAAACCTATCATAATTATTTTTACTTTAATATTATTTTATTTAAAATATGTAAATAATTTCTATACGCTGACATAAATTACGTCAGGAAAAGCAATAAAAATAACAATATCACAATTATGAATTTTGATATTATCAACTTGAATTATAATGAGATCTTGCCCTTTGGTCAATGTTTTGATGAATAAATATGTTTAAATTATATTTTGTGATTAAGTAATTGCTTTGTTTCTTAAAACACCTAATTAGTTAATTAAATTGATGAAAAAAGTAATCTATAAAAGTTGCATTCTCCAGAGTATATGCACTATAATTATTGTAATTAGGTAACAACATGAATAGACAGAAAACAATGTAATAAATTAAAGTTTTTAATGAAATATTATTTTATTATGATGTATTTTTAATAAGTAAATAAAAATCTAATTAGTATTTTATATTCCTCAAAATCAATCCAATTATTGAAAATTAATCATTGAAAAGACATCAATGTGCAAATGAAGCTATAGCTTGTATAGTGCGGGTAATTTGTTCCGCCAATATAACGAACTGTTTGTAACTGGACAAATTGAAGAATTGAAGACATACAAGAACAAACCGCACATAAAGGAACGTGTCTATATACAGACAACATAAAACGATCAATTATGTAGAAAAAATAATTTTGAATAAATACATTCTTATTTTGTTCAATTAATATTTACTTTATTTAGAACTTTTCAAACTGTACTACAGTAGATAACAAACATAATAAATTGCAATTTTTCATTGACTAGACATTTAGTATATTATTTTCAATTTATTTCAAATATTATATTTATTAAGAAAAAAATAAATTTATTGGTCTGATTACTGTACTATAAATTAATTAAAACTTAAATTTACTAAAAAATAGAGACAACGTATATTTTGATATGCCGACAATCCTTATGTTGTAAATATGTTGGACTACATTAAATATATTTAATAAGTCCAGAATGTTGCACTTCTCTTGTCTATTTAGTTTTACTTAATTTACTTTCAATACAATAATTTGAAGATTAGTAAAATTCGTACGTAACCTAAAGAGTTTTTGATTATTTATGAGGATGAAAACTGAGTTTTTATTGAAGTATCATTACATTCTCATTGATTTAATGATCAAGAAAATGTATGAAAAGTTTTGTAAAATATTTTGTTGAGACAACAATTATGTATGTGAAAGCAAAATAAATATACTCATAATTTGTTACCTGATTCGATTTTGACGACGTCTCGTTTCGGCTCGAAGAAAGCGGCGATTTTCTTTGGCAGCAGAAACATGAGGATGGCCTTCAGTCTGATCTTGAAGCAGGAGACGAAGCGTCGGCGTCGCGACGTCGGCACCCTCTGATCATCCAAGATGCTCCTCGAATCCTGTTCGTCCGTCGCTCCTGTCCCGCTCATTGCGACCACGCTAAATAAATAAGTCACGCGCTCATCGCTTTTCCAATCCGAACATCAATTATCCTTTCGTCTATATATAAACATATACGCTCGCGTCGTACTTGTTTCTTTATTTCTTCAATTATTTTTCTCCCCTTAAAGTTTGCTTTGCGTCGCCCGTTGTTTTCCTTTACGTCTTTTGTTTTTTTTCTCTTTTCTTTCCCGTTTTTCTTTCGATGGGATTGAATCGATTGATGACCGGCTTTGATCCGTTTCTGGACGGAATTCGGAAGCGTCGCCGCAGGATGGGAACGGCCGACGCTGACGCCGTTTATAATACTTATACATATTTCGAATGGAGCGTCGCGACGGCTGCGCCGATGCGGAAATATTTATAGGCTGTATCGGCTTTGTATATGTGTGTGTTGTTTTGTATTGTGTTGAAAAAAAAAGGGTTGGAGAATTATGGCCAACCCACATTCAGTACACTCAATTACGTAAATAAATTGAAAAAAAAAAATTGTTGAAGGTCTGTTTTCTGCATTAGTTTCGATCCGCACTGCGGACGAAACGGCAACATTTATAATTGTTGCCATTTCGTCGCATTTCTCGCGTTTCCTGCACTCATTATGCATTTCGATTGATCTTTTTACTCTACATGCTATTAAACCCAACGGTCGGAACGAAATTGCAGAACTCCATGAACAAAATAAAATACAATTGCACGTTACAAACAAAACAAAAATTGCCTTAAAAAGTCAAAATAAATGACTAACAAATACATATTTTAATACAAATCGAGACAAACAATTGCTAAAAATAAACAAAATTGTCGAAAATGTCTAAAAGGAAATTATTTAATTAATATAATAGAAATCCTGAAAACAATTGCTTCTTAGCAATAAAACAAAAATTATGTAAATAAATACATATTTGTTTTAATGAGAATCTTGAGAATCAATTGCGCATGATAACAAAACAAAAGTTGTTTGACATGCTTTCATAGAAATTCAAAAAACAATTATTCATTAGAAACAAAACACAATTTTTTTTTTACATGCTTTCATAGAAATTCAAAAAAACAATTGTTCATTTGAAAAAAAAAACAAAAATTGTTTGACATGCTTTCTTAGAAATTAGAAAAAAACAATTGTTCATAAGAAAAAAAAACAAAAATTGTTTCACGTGCTTTCATAGAAATCTTGAAAAGAAATTGCTCTTTTCAAACAAAAAATGTCTATGTCAATTGCTAGATTTAAATTTTAGTTAAGACAAAAAAATACGTTTGAATCAGTCAACACTCATATCATATCGAATAAAATATTATTTTTACTACAACTAAAATTCATTAAATTTTAATAATAAATAAGATATCATTAAAAAATGAAATCACGAAAATTATATAGATATAATTATAAAGTTTGTAAATATAATTTCAGTGAATTCATATAAAAAATCTGGTATTTTCACAACATTACATGTATTTATTTTTAATATTTGATGCGTCACTTCTATTTGCAGCGAGTTAGTCACATTTCCAAGATGCAATTTCAATTGATTGAATTTTCAAATTATCGAAGCAAAACAGTATTGGAAATTACATAAACAGAATAAACGAACAACAAGTTTTACAATCAAAACTGTAATTGTTTCTTCATATTAATTTACTTCTCTACACTTAACTATGTCGACACCTGATGCCAGTTATAGTTACTCTTTTCTTGATAAACTGTTAGAATCAAAGACTTTGGTTGGAGAAATACTGAAGAGCCAAGAGAGTTTGAAGATCATAGCAAGATATCAGATGCTCTTTACTAACCAACACAAACAACAATTATCTAAGGGATGACAATAAACATTGCGAAGAAATTAGGAAGAGGTTTTAGGGTAAGAATTCCACAGTACTACGAATCCAACTGTGGTCCCTATACCAAGATTCCTCTCCATTAGAAAATAAGGCCGGGTTCTGTGCAAATTCTAAAAAAAACTAGAAAAACTCGGTATGGTGTCTCGACAGTAAGTGGGGTGACTATGACAACATTCGGAGATAGCTCATCATTTTCATATTGAGTGCTCGATTACTAATAAGATAATTCTGAAAAAAAAGTTTGTACGCCAATGATTCTTTGAATAGTAGGCAACCGATGTTACACTGAATTCAAAAATCAATTTAATTTAGAAAATTTCAAATTGTTTGTGTAAAATAACATATATATTTTCCAGAATAAAGTAATAAATATTATATTAATAGCTTAAATATATGACAAATAAACAAACTTCAAGCAAAGCGTTAATGGCATAGGCAACCAATAATACTACAAATGTTCGAATTGTTATACGTAATATTTTATTTATAAAAAATAATTATGTTGTTATATTTATTATACTAATATTCAAATAATTAAACTTGTTATTATTTTTAAACATAAAACATTATAAAAAGCATGCAAACTAGATAATGAAAACTTTAATGTATAAAGGAAAAAAATTAATCATGTACGTATAAAAAAATTGTAAACTATTTTTTATTTATTATAATATTAAAAATAAAAAGACATTTCAAATATGTTCAAAACTGATTTAACATGTATATGCAACCACGTTGACTTATCAATAAAAACAATTCATTGATAAATCTATGGTCGAGGATACAATACCAACATATAGTAATAGATACCAAGATAGACTGGAGTCATATACTAATGTTTTGGCTATTGGCCTACTCGACAACAATAAAACCACAAACAGGCTGAAGCGTTGCAAACCACTAGATTTAGCATATAGATTTAAGTAATTATTATTGTTCAAGATCATCATAATGGTAACTATCCACCGGGAAAGCTTATCCATTTAAAGTCAACCGCGATCTTAAATTTACTCAATGTTCACATTGATGAACAGATTGTGAATAAAATTATTACGACATAAAAAAACTGATAAATCTATAATATCATTTTTCATCTGTTTGAAATTCTTATATATTATTATGTATTAATATTTTTAATATTTTTAGCCTTAAATACTTCAGTCGACAGCTCTGAGCGTATTATATATCAATAAAAAACTGAAGTCATTTCTATCATCCTGAATAGGCGAGCCTCTGATATTTCTGTAGTCATTTAACACGTTTTTTTGTACCCTGATCACGGCGACACAGGCTAAATCAGTTAAATCTACAAGTAATAAAAACAAACTATCGAAATTGTGCTCTGTGCGCAAGCTAAATGAAGCGTGGATGGTAAAAAAGTAGACGATGGAGAAATTCCTTTAAATAATATATTAATAATTCTATAATTTTCAAATGTTGAATATAATTTTTCGTGGATTTATAAAGTTTTAAATATTGAATATGATATAAAAGGAATAAGGATGAAAATAAAATTAGTTTTTGTATAATTTATTTTTCTTTTATTTGTAATTTTTTTTTATATAAATAAATCAATAATATAAAACATTCGATTTGCTTTCTCTTTTATATATAATATATAAGAACAAAATACAAATTTCCATTGTTTCTTTCTTTCTCTCTTCAATTTTTTTTATACAAGGATCGGAAACAAGATGCACAATAATCATATATTTTTTTTTCTTTATATAAATAAGTGATAAAGATAGATTTATAAACTCTCCGAACATACACGCATTTCCATTCATTCGACGCAACCATCAAAGCACACCAAATATTGTTTTTTTTAGTTATTCTTTCGTAGATATATCTTTATATATTTTTTTTTGTTTGTTAAATCTCTTGTTCACTGCACAGTCTTTCAAACTAAATTTACTAAAGAGCTCCATTAACCTCGACATTCATTAACAGTGTGTTTTTGTTTTTTTCTTCTTCTTCATCTTTTGTTATATCAACTTTTTTTTTTGTTTTATTAATTTTTAGTTTCTTAATTTGAAAATCGTCATTGGAAATTACTACCAATCACTCAAGTTATAGCGACATCTCGCTGAAACATTATGGATTAGTTTGAATGAGTTAACAGCAGTAATCTCCGCGACAAAATAAAATATTTAATGAAAAAAATAACTTGAAACTAATTATTTACATTAAAAATGTTCTTACTTTTTGACTCTCCTTTGTTTTTCTTTTCTGTTGTTTTATGTTTTTGGAGGAATGTAATTTTGTTGGAAAAAATTCGTTTGCAAAAAAAAATAAAAACACATTTAAAAACAGGATAATAATGATAGCAAAATAAATTATTAAGTTAGCGGCTCGTCTTCTTCGTCGTTGTCATCCTTAGACTTCGTTGCATTCCAAGTATGCCTGGTGACAGTTGTCGCCGGATCTGCCCCTCCTTCCGGCCTCGTACAGCAAATCGAAACTGTTTCCGGTTGTTGACTTCTCCAAAACAAAACTCGTCGCGTAACTGTAAAGAAAAACATAACGAATCGAATCATGAAAAGAAAATATGTACGTTTTAATTATTAATTTTCAGTGCAATATACAGTTTTATACAAATACAGTGGAATCTCGCTTAACGAGCATAATTTGTTCCAAAATTTCCGGATTTTTACTCGTATAGTGAAACAATTTTCCCCATATAAGCTAATCTAATATACGATAATAGGTTCTATCAATGTGCGGCACTGTTTGAAATTTTACTAATCGATTAACTAAATAAAATAGAAACAAACCTCACCACAAACGAGACTTGTGAAAAAACAATCATTGTTTTGAAAATTAAAAAAAACCGGATTATTGTGAATTCAGACTGAACGAAACCGTACTATAATAATAAAAAAAGGGAATTAATTCATAATTGAAAATTAAATTTGATATTTAAAATTATTTTCTTTAATCGAAATAATTTGATTCTTTAACCCTTTGTACTCGTATGTCACGTCATCGTGACGTAACGTCAACCATAAACTACACAAACCTACTAAATGGAAAAGAGTTAAGAGTTTTGCAATATCGATCTGCAAAACGTAAGCAAAAAGTCTATATTGGAACAATTACAGAGATTCTAATTCCCGCGATAAAGGAAAAATGGCCTATTGGTAGTAGCCAATTCAAAATCTAGCAAAATAATGCTAAACCACATTCCTAAATGTCACACTTAGTTTGGATTTATAATAATTTATAAATAAATCATTGAACTTAATTATTGTTGTCTAGTAACAATTTTTTCTTTTGAAAATAAATTGAGTTCAAAAGGTTAAATCAATTATTTGTACTTGATTGTATACAGATTTTGAAGAATGTTGAATATGTTGTATTTTTTTTGTGTAAACTTACGTTCCCAATTGGCAGAAGATGCTCGTCTGTCCGATGTCGTTCGTGCATTCCCTGTTCGCATCGCACAGATACTTCTGCATGCATTTGCTGCTGGCTGTCGAAAGCGATCTCACGTATCCTTTCATCATCGAGATTCCTGCAACCGTGGCTTCGCTCACCGTATCCTTCCTTCCAATGTTCCTAGCCAAGAGCGATCGATGAGAGAACGAGGTTTTGAGGGCATCCAGCAGGTTGACCACGATGTTGATGAACTGTTGACGAACGAAGTCAATTTTTCAGCGATTGTGTAACTTTGTTTAAAACCGTTACGAGTAGATGAATATTTTAGTTGTTTGTACTTATAAATATATGGTTAAATTCTTAAGGATACACACCTCTCCAGCTTGTTTAGCCATCATGTTGACCTGATCCGGGTTCTGGGATCCGACCACCGCCGATAAAACTGCCGCCAGTATTCCCTGTGCAAGCGAAGCTACTACTAGTGCATAGTCTAACTATTTATAGATTTTTTTGGGGAGTTCTTTTTATATTGGGGAAGAGTAAAATATTTACACTATTTTTTTGAGGGTGTATCAATTAATACCTCTCTCGGATTAATCTAATAAGCCTTTAAGCTAATTTAGTTTTTCTTAAATTCTTAAAATATTTCAAGGGTGAGTGGGTACCCGGTAATTAGTGTTGTATTTACAACCTGGGTTATAAAACTTTACGTTTTCCTCATAATCTTTTCTCATATTTGTTTGTTGGGTGTCTGTATGTGTATTTGGGTTTTTGGTTATTTTAGTTTACTTTTAGGGGATGTTCTTAGAAATGATGCTTAAACTACCTGCATCGGTGATCCGTTGTCCACTTTATCAATGCCATCTCCGCCGCCGCCTCCGCCTCCAAGAATAGCGGTGATGATTTTCAAACCGACTGAAAGGAGATTTGCCCATGGGGATGGAGCAATACCGCCGTCGTCCAATCCTTCGGATTTGTTCGGTCCAACTTGGTTACCGCCCGTGTTGAAGATCATCTGCATGACCATACCTTTTTTGACGAATTCGAGCAAAGTTGATTAATTAATGTTCTGGTTGATGGAAGTGTATGCATATGCCCGTCCGATTGGAAACCAAGCACCTTAGATCCTTACCAACAACTTCCTTACCTAATAAGTTCGACCAGGAAAATCCTCCGGACGACTCTTGAATGGAATTTGTATTCACGTCGTCGAGATCGTCCAAAGCGACTTTCTTGATTGCATTAGGTTTTTCTGCGAACTTCCGCTCGATCCTCACCGACGGAAGTTGAGGCGTCCTCGCCGGCACGAAACTTCCGCTCTCGTACTTTACGTTCGGGTAGGAGAGGGTGCTCACGATGCAGCTGGAGCAGATCAAGGCGACGTACGCCCAACCGAAAATTATCTTCTGCATTTCTATAACAAACAAAATCTAACATCAGAAAATAGCACAATTATAACAATATTCAACAAAATTAGTACGAATATTCAAAGTATAATTTTCAATAACACTCTATTTTTTTATTATTATTATCGATGAAGTATTAGTGAAATTTACAAACTTTCTATTTTTCTTTCTTTTTTAATAATTATCTCAATTTATTTTGTTATTCGATTATCCATAATTTACATTTATCCTGAAATCATTGATTATACAATTTGATTATCAAAAAGTGATTTTTTTTATCCGAAAAAAAATAATCGATTCAAAAATGTATGTTTACCTTTTTTAATCCGAAAAATAATTAAAGTTTGAGATTTTATTAAAAAAAAACAAAATTATTTATGAAAAATATACAGCACTCTTTGAAACCGGACTAATCGAGGACTCTCAAACATAATAAAAGTAAACAGCACTTGACAGTGTAGAGAAAATAAAACAATAATTTACATATTTATAAAATATTTTATGTCTACTATTTTTTTAGAATGTATCTTTTATTTTGCTGGTTTCATGTCTAGTTTGTTTTGAAATTTTCAAACCGAACTATAGTAAATCGGATCAAAGCCGCACTATTCGAGGTATTTATATAAAATAACTTCAATTCGATTAACCGAAATTGTGTTTTTTTTACTATGAAAAACAGTTTCAACAAAAATATTGCTTTAACAAATAAAAATGCAGACAAATTATAATAATTCTATTAACATAATATAAAATTTGAAATGAAAGTATTTGATTATTTTTAATATTGTCGAAAAAATCCAAATAAATAAATTGAATTACATAAATCTAATCGAACTTCCTGGATTATTATTTAATTAATTATATTAATCAATAATTATAGGATTAGCTCCCATTTAAAATATTTCCACTTTAAATATATAAGATATGAATCAATCAATACTTAGAATAAGAAAATTTTGTTAATTTATAATATTTTTGTAATCATTAAATCATTAATTACAATAACATCATAAAGTCCAAAGTTTACAATTTTCATCAATTAGATTGATTGTTTACAATAATCTAAGATTTTAAATCCTTTAACTCAAAGTAATAATGCATAAAACGCATCGAAATTAAAATGAATTAGTTCTGCTTTATATTTAATAATAATGGTTGAAAGCATAGAACAATCATCTTTTTGCTCTGATTCCTCTCGAATTGCTCGCTACATCCACTACAATCATTATTATGTATTTGTAGTTGTTATTGTTGTCCGTTTCCTCCGTTTCCATCCGTTTTATTACGAGCAGTCATCACGAGAATGATTCATTAAAGAATCCAGATTCCAAAATTAGAAAGCTAAACTAATCGGAATACACGTGGAGATGAGAGTTCGTAAAAACTGCGACTATAAAACAATAATTTTTCAAATTTCTATTATTGTTATGCCTATTTTTAATAAAAATATATTTGGCATTGAATGACCCGGATTTATGAATTCTTCGTTCGGTCGTGTAAATTCAGGACATTTATCGGAATGTTCTGGCTTCCGATTTGCAAATTGGTTGCGAATGTGAACGAAAAAGGCTTTGAAAGAATGATTGATGATAATAATCGTGTAAATAATGATTAGTTAGTATTCTTCTCAGCTGCGTGGATTGCATTCATCGGCGCTTTTTTTTTATTTAACGGTAAAGACGTTCGTCGGTTCGGGTGTAATGAACTAACGGATCGTGGATCGAAACTGTTACAAGGTTATACTGAAGAGCCGAGAGACCTAGTGCCCTGTTGTAACCTGTTGTTGGTACACATTACACAGCCCCGACCGACCTTCTCGATCTAAACTAAGAATGCGGATCGAGAAGTTTACTTTTCTCCGAAACGAGTTTTCTTCCGGATTCATTCTGTTTTATTTATGAAATAATGTTGTTCATTTTTTTATACAGACATAATTTTCATCTTCAATTCTTCCACCGCGTTTTTAATTTGCAATATTTAATTTAATTTCATACTTTAAATCCAATTTAACCATGCAATTAACGCAACATTGATTATTATCCTTCGGTGCAGAAAGGAGAACGTAATTAGTCGTTTCAATTAACGAATGCGCTGATTTTTTTCTTAATGCGAACGTTCATCCTCAATAATTAGTACAGTTTATCATCGCCTAAAGCACAAGTAATTTAATAAAAATAATTTATAAATTCGTAATAATTCGTAAATTTATTAAATTTATGATAATAAATTAAACTTTTCAAAATAAACTCGATTATTCGTAAAATAAATGATACAAATTTTGTACAATCAAATTTAAACAAATACAAGATATTACAATTATTTGATTATAAAACAAATTTTGATTTATTTTTCAACTACTTTTATTAAATTTACAAAATATTTCATTGATTTCAAAAAATAAATTCCCTTTCAATTTAAATTGATGATCAATTATACTTATTTTTCAATTTATTATTAATCATTTTCATCATTGAAACTAAATTGATAACATTTTTAAATTGAATTATGTAAAAAAGGTTTATTAATTAAGACAATTCGATATTTTGGTATTGAAATATATATTGATTATTTCAATACCAAAATATCTAAACAAATTGTCAGAAATTAATAATTTGATAAACTGAAATTTTGAAAGAAAGAAAAACAAACAAAATTCGTTACTTTCTTCGAAATAATCGTTTCAACTAATATTGAAATTTGCTATAAACAGTATACTTTTGTAGACATTTGATTATTACATTAGGGAGAGAAACTCATTTGATTATACGAAATTTTGGTATAAACTAGAGAAATATATTTATTGTTTATAGAGGTTATATGACTCGTTTATTTTGAAGGTGAAGGTATTTCTAAGTCCATTTTTCATTTTTTTATTGTAGACTTTGTGTAGTAACGTTTATATTTTGATGTTATTATAAACAATAATTTACGGTTAAGTTTGAACACATACATTTTCACACTTAGTTCAATAATTAAATACATTATTTTGCAAGTGGCCTAAGTTCATAGTGAAGAAGGTAATTATAATTATTTAGTTGCAATTAATATTATCGAAAAGATAATAACTTTATTTTAAATGAAAAGAGGAAACGAGACGGTTTCATATCAACAAGACTTTTGGAAGACGCAGTTTGTAAAATTTAAATAATTCTAACGGAGAAACAAAAAATTGATTGCAAATTACATACACAATTTCTAAGATCTCAATGGATAAAAATGCAAAATTTAAAATATTGCATTTATGACTTATATTTGAATATTACATCCAAATACAAGGACATGATCATTGTGATGATGATGATTATTACTACAATATATGTACCTTGACTTATTCAAATTCTTATATAAAAATTGAATCTAATTATTTGAATAGACTAAATGTACAAATTTGAATAAAAAGTACGCAGTTTGTGATTTGCTTATGAATGTTATTTAGAAGATATCGAAAGTTGTATTAGATTTTTGTTTGTTTGTTCGATTCATCGAAAAGCGTCGCTACGAAAGGTGAAATTTGCAGAACTTTCTCACCATCCTGCAAAGCGTTTCTTCCGCCCGAGGTGACAAATAATAAACGAAGCGCGCGATGTTGGCAACAATGCGCGTATTTACTATTGTATAAAAATTAAACAATTGCACAACTTATTAAATTTGGTAGCATTGTTTTCATGATGATGATGATCATCATCATCATAATCTTTCATCAGCGGAAATGAAACTGTATTGTTCGGTCATCGAACAATTAACTCTTTTTTAAATTAATTTCTCGATGGCTTCGCCGTACGGTGCTTAATAAGTGTTGCGGAATAAATCTGTTAAAACTGTTTCTTTTGTGCGGACGAAACGAAATGAAATCGCGCTCGCTAATCATCATCTTTCCACTTTGGAAAGGAAAATACCGATGAAGATGAAGAGAGAGAAAGAGAAATAACTCGAGTCAAATCAACAGTTAGTAAAAGCTCTCTCAATTAACCGGTTTCCAGCTAAGTTTTATTTTATTTTTTGTATTCTATTTGCAAGTCTTTCGGATTCCTTCTCCGCTCCAGCTCACACAGGAATCGGATACAAATGAAGACCGTTTTGCATACCGACAATAATTAGGTCCGTTATGTTTTCGTGTGCTTCTTTCGGTTTTCGTGTCGTCGTCGCTCATCGGTCGCTCCAATTCGAGTTACAGCTACAAATAATAGCTGTTCATTCTCCTTTTTTTTTGTACCTCCTCCTCCTCTTCAAATGTATGACACCAATTCCTTATTTTTTCTCCACAATTTATGGAACGGAAATGCTAATGCTGTTTTTACCGAACGATTTTTAATAATGTCCAAAAACGTTTTTACAGTTCATTAGATTTTAGAACCGTTTTATTATACTTTCTATATACGTTTCATACAAGCATTATCTGATACAAGATTGAATTGAAATCAGATACAAAGTTTCAACTTTTACTATATAAAACGAATATTTTCATATTTTTTTTTAAATGATTTGATATTTGATTTTATATTTAGGATTAACTAAAATACTATATTTTTTGTAACTAATTTTAATCATGAAATTTAATCAACATTTTTCATTTTCTCAATTTGTTCTCAATATTAAAATTTAGCCGAAAAGACATTTATATTTGTAAATTAATAAAGTTCAAATCAGAATCTCTAATCGAAAGTAGGCAAATGCAAGTTCAAATCAGAACAATTCATTAAAAAAAATATAACAAAATTAAATATAATAAATCGAAAAAAAAATAATTCAGTTAAGTTAGTATTAATATAATAACTTTCTATAAACAAATTTGTTGAATTAAGATTATAATTGAAGAAAAAAAAAACGGTGATTTGATTTAAATATTAAATTTTAACAATAATTACTAGTTCATTAAATTTGAAAAGTAAATTTCAACAAAGTTTTTATAACAAAATTTACGATTGACTTAAAATTTTTGAACATTTCGTGATTTAACTCATTAAAATTAAAGTCTTATTTTTTACGTAAATTTAGTGAATTGGAGGATGTTAATCGTTAAGTTCAATAAGTAATATAAAATAAACAGTTTCTATACGAATTATATTTAACATTGAATTTGAATGCATATTATTGACTGTTTTTTTTCTGGCAAATTCTATATTTAGTTTTCACCATAGTTTGTTGTTATTTTTGTTCGCAACATTGAAGAAAGCTAAAGGAGGTCACGAAATGCATAGTAGGACAGATGGAGTGTACGGAGCGTTAACCTCCTCCTCCTGTTCGTCTCTTTCACCTCATCTCTCTTAATAAGAATAAAAAAAGATCGCGAAGGAAAATACCAATTAAACGGGATTGATTTTCTAAAAAACTGTAGCATTCCATCTACAATTTTCTATTTTTTTCGACCATTCTCAAACGCTGACTCATTTTGCGATAACGAAGAATCGGACGACAACCTTTTATTTTTAGGGTGTTAACCATAACAACTCACCTGTATTTTTTTTGCTTTTCTTCTCAAATGAATGTATGAATTACTGAAATATCTCTGGGAATTCGCTCGAAACAAATCGCACTTCTTTTCCGAATGTCTGTGTACGTGTTATTCTTGCAGTTGCCTTCGGGTTCTTCGATTCTTCGGGACGTTTGGACGTGCTTGTTGTTTGCTTGTTGGAGGCTAACACCGCGACCAGAAGTAAGACTCGAAATGGCTCGGTAATACCTTGAACTTGTATTTATATACTATGACCCACTTACCTGAGGAAGATGCACGAACGAACGAATCAACGACGAGCGTACCTGAGCCTATCTTCTCCGAAACTTATTACATTTCTACAATGTAAAAAAAAGTGTTATTTTACTCGCAATTTATTTCAATAATGATTATAGACATTATAACTTCTTTTTTTATTAAAAAAAAAATCATTATTATCAGCTCAAAATTACAATTTTAAGATTAAAATAATAAATCCATCCAAAATATTAATAAAAGTTCAAATATTAATAAAAATAACATTAATAAAATGGTATTTATATATTCATAAAAATAGTTGATAATAATTAACAAATTATCTTTAATTTTATGAAAATAATAAATAAAATAGTAACGTAACTTATTAAAATGATTTAATTCATCAACACTAAACAGTAAAATTCCCTTAATTTCTTAGTTTATTTTTTCTTTCTTATAGGATAAAGAAATGCGGTTTACAGAATAATAAAACTGTATACCAAAGGGTAACGTCCTCAGCATCTGTTATTACTACTAACATTGTTAATTGATTTTGATAGATCTTGATATTCAAAAAAATATACTAAGAATTTTAATAAGGAAACTCTAGCAAAGTGTTATTTCTTCATAAAATAAACAGTTTTCACCTATTCAAATATAGCGCAACATTTTTAAGTACAGTTAGCCCTCGGTTTGATGGAACAAATATTATATTTGTTAAAATTAGTCCTATTGGATTCATACATTTATATTTTTCAGAAGTAAACAAACATTAAACAAATAATGAATATTTTTTTCATTATATATTCACATAATACCAAAAATTTCAACAATGTTAAATTTTTTGATATTTTTGCATAAAGATAAAAAAGTGAAAAGAAATGATGAAATAATTACGTTTATTTGAATCATATATATTTAATGTATATATAATGGAATTTCGTTTAACGAGAACCTCATATAACAAGCAAAACAAATTGTAACAAAAAATGACCCGATTAACGAGTTATGTCTTGCATAACGAGTGACGAGGAGAAAAGTGCCTGCTACATAATTTTCCAAACTTGTATTCATACATATTATGTGTGATTATTTCTATGCAAATCTTAAAAACTCTTTCAAAAATGTCATTGAAGAAAAAGCAATAAAGGAATAAAGAAAATAATTATGAAGAATTAGGTATCATAAATAATAAACTATAAGCATTATAAGCAATAATTTCCAGTTTGGTTCATTCCGCGATAGAAGAATAGATGAAGATGATTCATGCTTCTTAACAATGTTTATTTGCGGTAAAAGTACATAATCCCTAAATGTATACATTTACCGCTTTACCGGGGTATGTATACACTTACCCAATGACGTCTGTAAAAGTTCATATAGGTAAATAAAATATATAAGTTATGTCACGCCAAAAAATCACACATACACAGAATTACATTATTTTGAACCTAACACATTGTTTGCTAGTGACCTAACCTAACCTTGATATACAACAACTATATCTCATATTTATTATTTTAAACTTTTACCGATATACATAGGTAAATGTAAACATTTATCGGAAAAAGTAGATATGTGACGCTGTTGTCAGATTTATACTTACATTTACCTACAAGATCGGTAAATGTATAAATTTACCTGGATCTGTACTTTTTACCATGACATATGTATAATTTTCTTTGAATAAACATAATATTTTTTGAGTATTTGTGGAACAATTATTTTCTGACATATCTATGATATGATTTTACAAATAAACCAATATATTGATAGTAATTTGCATCATTTTTTTTATATAATTTTACTTAATGTTCAAATTAACAACATTCTAACCAAAAGAGATTGTATTTTTTATTTAAATCATAAAACATATTATTATTTCATTATTTCATTTCACAAGTTAATTAAATATGTTTATTATTATTTTTTTCTTCTTCTTGTAAATTAATTGATGTAAACTAGTTTTTGGTTATATTTAAAAGTAAATTGTAACGCTACCAAAAAAAATACAATTAAATATGCGAACAAAAACTGAAATAAATGTTAATCTTTCCTTTCTGTCAATTAAGCCACTAAAAATCTTGTTTAATTTGAAATTTAAAGTATTTAGGTACTTTTTTTTTTACAAAAATGAGTTCAAAGTTGTAATAAAATTGCGAGTAAAGAATTTGTTTTTTATTGTCTTTTTTTATATATATTCAGAATGGAACTTGAATCAAATGTGAGCCGAGTTGTATCTAATAAAACGTGTAAATATTTGAAGTAATACAGTGAACCAGTTATGTTTGCACTAAGAATTAATGATACACAAATATAGTTTAATCTGGAACAATACTAAATGCTTAAGATCGTACGCATATTGCGAACTGGTTTGTAGATGATATTAGAATAGACACATAAAGAAACTACAATAAATAAGTAATTGATTTATGAATTATTTCAACATGCAATTTAATAAAAAAATGAATGAAAAGAGTTCTAAGGTTCACAATAAATTAGTTGAATAGATTAATTAGTAATGAAAGTATGATATTTTTCATAGGAAACGCGAGATTCCAATGACTAATCGCACCGAAAAAAATGAGTAATAAAAATTTCGATGGAAAGTGTATCAGAAAGGTGCGCTGTCCTCTCCCGACATTTTGCGTACGTCGAAAGAAAGTGATCGCAATTAGTTTTTCGTTATAATACGTTTGAAATCTTCGAGAATTCCGTGCTCTCTTCGGAGATTTTCGTTGCTCTATTTTCCCAAAAAAAAAAGAATGAACAAAGAAATATAATATAAAATAAATAAATAAAACTTCTTCACACGCGCGCTAATCATTTCGTATAATTATTGTAACTGTATATCCGCTTTGCTCCAAATTTTAATAACGAAGAAGCAAATGCCGTTTATTTATAGATATTTTCCACCGCGCACTGTGACATAATTCCTGTAGAATAACCTGTTGCAGTTGTATATTTTACGTTTGGTTTAATCATTCATTTTTTTCTGTTTTTAAATCGTCTATAGGTTACGTTAAGTAAGGTTGTAAAATAGGTTAAATCATTGACGTGAAACTGCTGCCAATTGTTGGTTAGGTCAGTTTACGTTGGGTAAGGTTTTCAGGATGAATTAGAATAGTTTAAGTTAGATTAAGTAGGACTAGATCAAGGTTTTATAAACTATTCTTTTATTTTGTAAATTTTGAAATTTTTACAAAACGCCTTGTTTATTTTGTAGGGTAGTTAATAACACATATTATTTGTAAAAAAAAATGAGAAAAAGCATTTATTATTTATTTAGTAATTATTTCATTCCAGGTATTCACGGAACACTTATTAATTTTCATCCGCGGAACATAGTTTGGGAAACCCTGGGTTAGATCATCATTGTAAAGCTGCTGTTAGTTGGTATATCGGTTAGGTTAGATCATCATCGTTGGGCTACTGTCAATTTGTTTAAAGGTTAGGTTAACTAAATTTGAACGGTTGTAAGATAGGTTATAAAATGATTATAAGGTTGCTGTTAGTTGATGTATAGATTAGGTTGTAAGATAGGTTTGTACATCGTCGTAACGCTGCTGTCAGTTGATGTATAGGTTGAATAGGGTTGGAAAGATACAAAATAAGTAGAATTTGATCATAATGAGACGGAGCAATCACTTTTCTTCTGGCAGTTGACAACATGTTTATCTTCCTATCATGATTGTAACTGTCAAATTAACGTGTGTTGTGTAATTGAGATTGACGAATGACGTAAACAAAAGTGGAAAAGTGGTAAGAATCGGAATAGAAGAGAACGATTTCGATTGTTCTTGTTTGCTGTCACAGTCGTTCTTTTGATTACGTTGCGTCCGATGATGATTGTTGTTGCGAAAGATCGCACGAACAATGCAGGATGGATGAGGAAGAATGCTCGAGCGTGTGCATGATGTATGTGTGTTCCGGTTTTGTGGTATCATATAATTCCGTGGCATTTCTCCATTCCAATTCTCATTATGACGCTGTTGCTGCAACGTTCCATTTATTAAAGCGAGCCTAGGCTTCGATGGTTTTTCGGTTTTGGCTTTGGCTTTGATGGCAAGCGCACGCTCCGGCGATGTGCGATTTAACAATTTCTGTGACATAACGGACACTCGTCTGTGGTCGCCGGCTAACAGTAAACGCATAGTTTTGTCCTGAAATTACTGACTTGCTAAAGTTATTAGTACACATAATATTTATCATCGCCGGACCAAAATAAACACGCGCACCGTCGATGGAAGTGGCACTCTCTGTATATGTGTCTTCCACTCTTGTTTCTATTTCAATTAATTAACATACATTACACAACGTTTAAAGGCGAAACGAGAACGAGGGGCCGTTCCAAATTGCGAGATTCCCAGTAGACGTCAAATTTGACACTTGTCACCATTTTTGATGTATCTTCCTAATGTCAAATTGACAGGCGCCACCTAATGAGTGTCCAGGTAGTTCCTGCTCAAGTGAATGTCGTTTGCGTCCAGAAAATCCAGCAGGGATTGACTGTCAAAGTCGCCGCCGCTCAATTCTAAATCTTCATCTAAAGCATTTCTCCTTGACTTTCGAACGCACTTCACTACCAACGCAATGGTCAAACTCAACACTAGCACCAATGTCACTACCAGTATGTACAGCAGCAATATTGGATGTCCGAAGATCTCTTTCAGGATTTTCAGGCTGAAATCTGAACCGGACATAGAATCCCTCGGGTTTATAGGTTTATCAACGTTCATTGCCTAACAAAAATAACCATTTAGATAAATAATAAAATAAAGAAATAATCTCGAAATCGTTACTTACCACATCAATCAATCGATATGGTTCGAATATAACTACTAGTATTTGTGAGCGTCCTAGTATACATATTACCTTCAGTTATCAGCGATTAGATAAAACGTTATCAGCCTAATTCAAAAAAATAATAGAAAATCCAAGGAAAACAGACTTCAATCAGATGATACATTTACTAAATTAAATATTGCAAATACAATTACCAAAATAAATATAAAAAGTACATATTTACTAACCAGATTTCTATCGAAAAAAAATTGTTTTATAGGGAAATCCGCATGATCCGTTTATTTGATTCATGATAAATGAATGTCTACTATTGATATTAAACTATAAAAATGTTAAGATTTTTTTTTTATTCTAATTGACGATATTTTCAATATTAATTACTTATTTTTCGTCCACATTTTATGTTATCTATTTATTGATTTGTTCAGTAATAACATGTCAACAAAAACTAAAGCATAGAAAAAAGTAAATATTTATGAATTATTGATTTTTGTGTGTTGGTTTTACATATTTTTTGTGTTAGATTAGGTAATAAAAAGTGGCAATGTGTGATATTCAGTTACAGTTACGCCATCCGCGATTAACCGTAACACAAACATTTGAACTAATTACAATAAGTGCGACTTTGCATTTGGAAGCGTTGCATGCGAGTTTGCATCGATTTTTAACGCCTCGAAGCATTCATTAGAAAAAAAAATTAACCAGAACGGTTTTTTTTCTGTATGTAGAGAAGAATCCGGTTTTAATCAAATTGTTCAATTTGAAGTAGCAGTAAACACGGATTCTTCCGTGCATAAACTGATTCTATTAACCATCGGAGGTTCTTAGCCTTGTAATGAAGATTTAATCACGTTTAAAAAAAAGATTTAATTAATAATATCGTAATTATAATATAATTACTTATTAATTATGAATTTATAATAATTTCCACAAGTTACAGAATTTAACTGTTTCTGTGAATATAATATAAATGTACAAAAAAAACTATATGACATTAATTTCATCTGTGAACAAAAAACTAAATAGATGAATTGCTCAAAGTTATAAAAAAATATATTTTTCAAAAAAAAAACTAAATATGATTTTATAATACTGTAATAGTTTTTATTCATTTAGTAACAAAAAAATAATAAATGAATTACGAACATTAAAATTTTAAGAAAATTAAATATATCACTAAGAATATTTAAATTTCTAGCCATGTTCTCTTGTATTAATTAATTAATGAACTAATACAATAAAATTATATTTTATTGTTTTAGTAACAAGTTTTTTCTCTGTATATTTTTTAAGCAAAGCAATTGCAGATCATGATCAAATTTAAATCATTTATCATGTTGTATATGTAACCAAACATACATACATTACATTTTACAAATTATTAAATATTAAAATCGTAATTATCAAACATTAGTCACTATTTAAAAATATCTAATATTGAAAAAATTAAAAAAATCATTGTTTCAATTAATTTGAAATATAAATAAATGTGGAAATTAAATCTAATTTAATTTGTGTTGAGATCCCATTTTTGTTATTTTTAAAATTAACGTTAAATATGTTTATGCGATGTATTGAAGATATTTAGTACAAGTGTTGCGAATAATTCATAATAAGTAAATAATATGACTAATTTAATTTTTGTTACTTCGTCAATTTACTGGAATATATAAAGTTGCCTAGAGAATGAAATTAGTATATGTTATGTTGCATAAGGAAAGATACTTTCTATATTTTGTTATAATTGGTGTATGTCAAGTTGCATAAAGAAATGAAGATTGAAAGAGTTGCTTAATTTGTGGTTTATTTGTATTATATAAAATGTATAAATTAAGTATAACTTAGTTTTAAGATTTAATCGAGAAGAAGACTTGGCGGAAGATTGGCGTTTGTACAGTTTGTCGATGGCATTCTGTGCGAGACGGGTGATCTGTCAGTCGTTTTCAGAGACGGTATCGACATCTATGAGCAACTCGTCCTGCGTCGAATCGGCGGGGCTATCGCTGGAGCCTTTACCGGCCTCCTTGGTGTGACGCCACTTCATCCTTCTGTTCTGAAACCATACCTTCACCTGAGCGTCGGTGAGTCCTAAGGTTGCAGCCAGCTGACGTCTGTCCGGCTTCGTAATGTACTTCTGCAGCTGAAAGCGCCTCTCCAGACCCTTCCTCTGAAGATTACTGAAGACGGCCCTGGACCAGGAGCGTTTCCGTTTCCCATTGGGTTGCGTCACTGTCGGCGGCGAAGAAGGCGGCAAAGGCACTCGAACTGCAACGGAGATAAAAAAAAATAAATTTAAAAACAAAATAGTAAAAAAAATATTTTCATATGAAGAAGTTGAAAAAATGATGCACCGAAGGCAATAACGAGCAATTAATTAAGTTTAATGCTTCTTCGGATGCAAACGATGCGATAAAGTAAATGGTTTTTCGCTAAAATGGGATTCCTTAAACAAGAAGCTCTCATCAAGTATTTCTCTCTCTTTCTCTCCTCCTCCACAGCATCCTCTTCATCCTCCGCCGCCGGGCGCAGCCTCTCTCTCTCTGTTTGTGTATATCTTCTGGCCGGGAGATATTCTAAATAGTGGCGCAAACAGGATGTCCTCAACACCAATAAACACCATAAAACGGGTGTCTGTGCAAGATCCCTCTCAGGCCATATGCATAATATACAAACACGCTGAAACGTTCATTTGGTTTTAACTGGTTTTTATTGTTTATTTACCGCGGCCAATATTATATTAAATATATGATTTAAAAATAAAACGGATGGCCCCCAAATAGCCGCCGCCGCCACCGTCTCCATATCCAACTCCTCACGCACTTCGCATATTTATTGAATTCTACGTGAATTCGATTCTCCGTTTATTTTATAATTCGGAAAATTAGCATCAACACCAAATCGTATCGAATAACTTACAATTTAACAACTTAACAAAAAAATAAGATCACTCAATAACTTTTCTTATAGTTATAGCTTTAATTTTACATTTAACAGTAAGTTTGTAATTTTCGAGAAATTTGCTCAAAACGACTCACATAAATATTTATATAATTTTAATTTATTTCTTATAATGTTATCTTAATTTTAAAAACTTCTTGACAAGTAAATGTCAAAATTGACACTGCATTAAACAAACTGTCAAAATGATTGTGTTTAAATTAGTATAAGTATAGTATATTTTGTGTTAGTAATTATGATACTTTGCATATCTGATGTAATTTGAAATGATTTATTTCTTGATTACTATCAGAATACTATTAAAATCACAAAAAAAAAAATAAAAACTACTTGTAAAGTAAAAGTCAAATTTGACAGTGCTTTAAACAAACTGTCAAAATTGTTGGGTTCAACTTAGTATAAGTATAGTATATTTTGCGCAAGTAATTTCGTTACTTTGCATATCGGATGTATTAATTCTGAACGATAATTTCGTCGTAAACTGTATAAAATTCCTATAATCGTTGAACTGTAACGCATAAACTACACGACAATGTTGCATTATTTGCGTGCAGCGTGTATATATTTTATGTGCTTTAGCAGTCTCAGTCGAAGAAGTAAAAAGATGTGGAAACAGAACATAAAAGAAAACCGATGGCAAAAGCTAAATGAATTAGCGGAACATACAAAATACGAGTTTCGTCGTGCTTAATTGAACTTTATGATAGTGGTGCGGATGGTTGCATAACGCGGACCAGTTAAAAGTAATAAACATTTAAATTATATTTAAATTTAACTTTAACGTTGTGATTAGATTTGAAAGAAACAAAAAAGACGAAACGAAAACTAACTTAATTGGATCGATTATCGGAGTAGTTAAAATCTGGGCATTTACGTGCGAGAATTAGTTAAGTAAGTGCAGCAAATATTATGAGTCTTACGGAGTACTAAAAATAAGTGGGCTGTTCAAATAAGCGATCCGATTTTAATGATCGCATTTACGTGTTTTCGTTTGGGGGCCTCGCCTTCATCCGCCGCAGTTCTGAAATTCTGAAACCTCTATCGTATGTTCAATATACAATTAATAACGTACTCATTTCACTGAAAATTACTAAATTTTGAACAGAAACATTTTTTTAATTTTTTTATAAATAAACACGTTTATATAACATTGACATTTTGTTTCGTCAAATATGAAAACTGATGATTAATTTTCATTTTACGTATGTCAAATTTGACAAAATTTGAAAATATGTTATATTTCCAAGTGACATCTGTCAAATAAATTTGACTGTAGACATTTACAGTATTAAGATTAGGTTATCAACATCTGTCGAATTTGACAGTGATTCTCTATAATATTGAGATTATGTTAGGTTTACATTTGACATCTATCATATTGGATAGTCGATTTTTACAATAGTTCATGTTAAATATTTATATACAGTATTATGGATGTTTTCATTTGACATCTTTTTAATAGTGAATCTTAATAATATTGACATTATTGTAAAATAACTCATGTTAAATTTTTATTTACAGTATTATGGTTATGTTTTCATTTGACTTCAATACAATTTGATAGTTAATTTAAATAAAAATATTGAGATTATGTTAGGTTTATATTTGCCATCTATCAAATTTGTTAGAAGATTTTTACAATAGTTCATATTATATTTGTATTTACAGTATTATGGTTGTTTTCGTTTGACATCTGTCAAAATTAATAGTGAATCTTAACAATATTGACATTTGTAATATGTTACAATACTTTCATTCAATACTTCTGACTTCAATAAAACAGTTAATTTTAATAATATTGAGATGTTAGGTTTATATTTGATACCTATCAAATTTGACGGTAGATGTTCACAATAAAATGTTCATATAAAATTTGCAATTCCTAATGTTATAGTTTCAATATATTTTAAATTAATTAACATCAAACATCATAATAATGTTGACAATTTGAAATTAGATTAAGTAATTGTATTTCGCTTATTTGTTTTATGATTTCAATTGTGAATGTTGACTTCAACAACCGACGTTTTGCCCCCCAAATAATTCTTACAGCTTTACAGTTTATTTGGTATATAGCAATTGGAAAGTGCGTCGTTAAAATTTCGTTTTACCACCGTAAACAAGTCTCACTTAATAAACAAGGCTCAAGTTACTTTAGTATTGAGTATTCAAAGAACGTTTATCCAAACCAAACACATCTTCACATATAATTTCCACAATTGGAATTTGTTATTATTAATACAATTACAGTTTCAAGACATATCAAAAAAATAATTTAAAAAATGCAATAATATTTTTTTAAACGAAAAATAACTGTATTTTTTAAGAGCAAAAAATAGGTGAATTTCTTTATAGTTATTTTCTATTTTTTTGAGATGTTATTAAGGTGGTATTGCGCCCGGAACCGAGATTCAGTTAAAGGATCTCATGATTACAAAACAAATTGGATTAGTTATTAGTTCGGTTAACCAATTATCGTTTCTTTTCGCGGAATACCAACAAGTTTATCTCTATCTCTCTCTGCTTTTTTTTGCTTTTTATTGCTTTGTTGTTGGTTTCGTTCGAATCCGTTATAGCACTTTTCAACGCCGTTTTGCACATGATTATTGCCTTCCTCGTCATGTAGATCTACGATAACAGAACACTTTACATATGTTACAATAGATGGGGACAATTAATTAGATAACATCAACATATTAAGCAGTGTTTGAAAACACTGATTAAATTTGTATTTTGTTTTAAATTTAATTCATAATTATTTAATGAAAATTTGTTTAAAAACTTAATGCTGAACGAATTAGACTATGAATATGACATTTTCCAACAAATTTGAAAATTTTCAATTACACAAAGGAAATTTCTTCTGAAACATAATAATCAACAAAATAAGCTATACATATGACATTTTAGACCAAATTGAAATATTATAAATTTTCAAAATAAAATTTCTTCAAAAACTTATTAATAAACAAATTAATCTATAAATATCTCATTTTCTACCAATTTCGAAAATTATAAATTTCTCAAAGAAAATTTGCTTCAAAACTAAGTAAATAACAAACTATGAAATTTTTTTAAAACTTAACACAGGAGAAACACTAATCTATGAAAATGGCATTGTATACTAAATTAAAAATTATAAATTTTTAAAGGTTTTTTTTTAACTCAATTATAATTCTTTAAAGGAATTTTGTTTCATAAGTAAATAATGAATATAAACTATGAATATGACATTTTGTACCAAATTCGACAATTATAAATTTTCAAAAAAAAATTTAACTATGAACAAAATTGATAAAACAAATTATTATATTGTTGTTTTACTTTCCACAAGTTAGTGAATTGGTTTTCTTTGTTGATATCACGTTCAATTATTGTTTTAAAGTAAAGATATTTATATATACAGACAGTTTTTTTTCTCTATATGTATATTAATTTTATTACATAATTTATTATAAAATAAGTAATTAGTTAATTTATTAAGTAAAAGTTATGTTCAATTTTCACATGACATCTATCAAATTTGACAGTAATCATAATAGTAACAAGATTTAAGTTTTTTTAACTAAATATTTTAATAAGAAAGAAGAAAAGGCATTCCACATTTTAGATTAAAACCGAATCTCGTGGTTTTCTTTGTCGATATTACTGCATTATTAACATTGAATAATGAAAATCAATTAATATCAATATAAAATGAAGATATTTATATATGTACTGTACATTTTCTCTCTATATACTCATTTTATAATATATATGTTCATTTTACACATGACATCTGTCAAATTTGACAGTACAGATAACCTCCGACTAAGTCGGGAAATTTTAAAAAGTTCAAAATATATTTATCTTACCACTTTATCATGATTTTTACTTTTATATATGTCAAATTCCGTATTACAAAATACTTATTACAAATGTTATTTTCAATGTAGACATCACAATTATTTAATAAAAAAAACGACAAAAGAAACAAATGCAAGAAAACAGATAGAACATATTCCAAAACTATTATATTTTATTAAATAAATTATCAATTTCTGTTTAGACAGTTAATTGTTTTATCACTCTAACAAGTTAGAGCTTTTAGAATTTTGTTCGTAAGTCCGGGAGTTTGTATGTCGGGTAACCTGTCACCATTACCGTATTAAAGTTAAGTTTTCATTAGACATCAGTTAAATTTGTCAGTGATCTTAATAGTATTAAGATTAAAGTTTTTTTCAACTAAATATTTGAACAACAAAGAACAAAAGGATCGGTGCATTCCAGATTTCAGATTAAAACCGAATCTCGTTACGCATCGAAAC